AATTATTGAAGAAGTGACACTTCGATTTACAATTGCTTGTTGATTGAATTTGATTCGTTCTCGCGTGATATTGTTAACTCTATATCGACTAGTTGATTAAACATCTTCTAAGATTATTTAATCGACTCTTAGAACCAAAAGGGGAGGAGTCGGTCGAAATAGATTCACATGAACTAGGCTTGTTCATAACTGTATTGCCTAGGAGTTATTTGACTCGTTAATTTGCCGTTCTATTATTCTCTTGTTACGAATAGTTATTGGGAATGAATGAATGCTTGATCTGGTAGATTATTCGAATTTCTTAGCTGAACAATCGCTTGCCCGTTAGTTGCATATCGAACCAAAGCAGGAATCCCCGACTCCCTAGCTTCTTAATCCTTATTTGTTCCACGTGATCGTCTGCTATTTACTTGCTTTATTCTATTTATTTGCAGTAGTTGATATTAAAAACCATCCAATATTTGATTTAGAATGTTTAGGATTTTTATTTCTTTTATTTTCTCTTTCATTCGTGTGTGAATAAACGTGCTTCATATTCCAGCTGACCTTCCTTGTGATACGACCCGAGGAACGAATCTTTCGATTCTACTCCGGTAAAAATATTTACAACACCCCTCAGACTTCTTTTTCCTTGATGTGGGGTTTGAGGGGTTGGCCGGCGCGGTGGACCTGGCCTGTAGTGTTGGTTGCGTTCAGGGTTGTGGTGTTGTGAGGGGAGGGGGGTGAGTTTGTCGTTCCTCTGGCTGTTGGGTCGGGGTCTTCTTCCAGGAGTGTGATCGGGGTCTTGAGTTTCGGATTCAGTTAAGCATGCTTGGTAGTTGTAGAAGCAACCTTTAGGGTTGCAATTCAGTCCGTTGGGGCGGTCAGTCGTGGGTTCCATCGTCGTTTTGCGCTTGATGTGGAAGGGCCTAGTTTTATTTAGCATTAAGTGTGTTTGTTTGTACTTTGTGTGTATAGGTTTTGTGTTTTTGGTTTTGTGTCTTTCCTGTTTGGGAGTGTGTAGTATCCTGCGTGGGAGTGGTGATTCTCCATTATTGGAGCTTTGTAGTTTTTGTTGTGCTTATGGATGCGGTGTCTAGTTTTTTGTAGCTTAGATTCTAGGTGATCTTTAGATCTGCCCTCCCATTTGTATTCAACTAGCTTTTTAGTTGTCTCATTCAGTTAGAGGTTGTTTTCTCATTTGTACAGTTGTGCGTTTTTTTT